TCTTTGTTATACAACTGGGAGATGTCGTAGAAACATAAGAGCATCTAGTGGAGGTGAGAGATACAGGCTGGAGATTTCAGTTGGGAGCCTTCAGCATCTGACTAGCATTTAAATCCTTGAGACTGTGTGAGATCACCTAGGGAGTGAGTGTAGACAGAGTACTGAACCTTGAGGCACTAAAGCATTTGGAGGTGGAGGAGATGAGGAGGAACTAGCAAAGGAGACAAGGTGGAAGGAAGTCAGGACACTGCAGTGTTCCAGAAGCCAAGGGAAGAAAATGTTTCAAGAGGAAGGGAACAATCAACTGTATCCCATGTTGGTGATGGATTAAGTAGGATGAGGGCTGAGAACTGGTTATTGTATTGAGCAGCGTGAAGATCATTCATGATCTTGACAAAAACAGTTTTGGGGGAAAGTGGTAATAGAGCTTTACTGGAACGGATTAAAAACATGTTCAGAAAGGAATTACAGTCAGCAAACGTGGACAGCTCTTTTAAGACTCCATTTCAAGCTAGGAGCTACTACAGTGAGGTTAAAAGAAGATACAAAATTCATGCTTCCCGCTCTCCCAGTACTTGCGGTCAGTCACAAGGGAGGCAGTTCAGTAGCCAACAATAAACAGGTCAGTGTGATGAATGTTGTTGGGAGAGAAATAGACGATTCTCCAGGCCATAGTTTTTCCTTCTTTAAACTGGTACTTAAGCTTCTTCTAAGATTGAAAATGGAATGATTAGGTGAAAAATGGGAAATGATCTCAGTCCACTTCTCTACTGAGTTTTCTTTAGTTCTTAGTTATGGATCCTTAATGGGAAGAGAAACAAGTCTGGGACTAGGATGAGTCTAGGAAGCAGCTAGAATGCAAATTTAAGGAAGCTCTTGCTTTCAATTTTTTACAAGTGAAGGGTTGGCAATTAGAAGGAACTGGAGAGTGAATACCCCCTTAAATTTTGTGCTAGGTGCTTCACTTGCCTTACCCCAATCTTGGCTATGAAGAGAAATTCTTTCTTTGCCTAAAATGTCCCCTATGGTAAAGGAGGGGGAATATATACCTCTGCTTAGTTTTCAATTGTAAATTTAGTGTCTCAAGTATATCATGCAGACCTTTGAAGTGTGTTATTATTTGATAAACAGGTAGAAGGCAAAAAAGTATCCTTTTAATCTTTTTATTAAGATGAAATTCATATAACATAAAGTTAACCATTTAAAAGTACAGCACTCAGTGGTATTTAGTGTATTCACAGTGTCATACAAGCGCCACTTATCTCTAGTTTCAAAAATTTTCAACATGCCAGCCATTAAGTAATCATTTCCCCTCCTACCACCCCTGGTAACCTACAGTCTACTTTCTGTATCTATGGGATTGCCTATTCTGGGTATGTCATATAAAAGGAACTATAGGACGTGTGACTTTTTGTGTTGGACTTATTTCATTTAGCATAATGTATTTGAGGTTCATTCAAGTTTTAGCATATGTCAATACTTTATTCCTGTTTATGACTGAATAATATTCCATCAAATGAATATTCTAGGCTGAGTGTGGTGGTGTACCCCTGTAATCCCAGCAGTTTGGGAGGATTACAAATTCAAAGCCAGCCTCAGCAACTAGCAAGGCCTTAAGAAATTAAGTGAGACCTGTCTCAAAAAATAAAAAAGGCTGGGGATGTGTCTCAGTGGTATAGTGCCCTGTGTTCAATCCCTGGTGCTCCCGCACCAAAAAAAAAAAAAAAAAAAAAAAGAATATGCCAGAGTTTGTTAATTCATTCATCCATAGATGGACATTTGGCTTGTTTCCACCTTTTGGCTATTACCAGTAATACTATTGTAAACATTTGTGTGCAAGTTTCTGTGTTGATGTATGTTTTCATTTCTCTTGAGTATATAATTAGGAGTTGCAATTGCTGGGTCATTTGGTAATTGTATGTTTATTTATTTATTTATTTATTTGAGAGATTGCCAGACTTTTCCATGTGGCTTTGTTATTACATTTCCACCAGCAATATATGAGGGTTCCTATTTCTCTATGTCCTTGACAACACTTACTTTCCATTTTTTAGAAAAGTTATTATTAAAGCAATCTAGATGAGTAAGAATTTGTACTTCATTGTTTGTTTTGATTTGAATTTCCTTAATGATCAATGATATTTGTTGTTGCCCATTATAATATCTTATTTGGGGAAATGTCAGAGTCCTTTTGTGTGCGTGTGTGTGTGTGTGTGTGTGTGTGTGTGTGTGTGTGTGTATAGTACTAGGCATTGAACTCATGACTGTTCTATCACTGAGCTACATCTCCTGCCCTTTTTATTTTTTATTTTGAAACAAGTTCTTGCTAAATTGCTGAGGCTAGCCTTGAGCTTGCAGTCTTCCTGCCTCCGCCTCCTGAAGTTGTTGGGATTACATGTTGCCGCCTCCCCTGGCCTTTTCACATTTCAAAAATTACATTGTCTTATTGTAAAGATTTTTTTATATATTCTGGAAATCCATCTCAGATACATGTTTTGCAAATACTTCCTCCCATTCTGTATGTTTTCCTTCTCATATTGTTGATAATGCCCTTTGAGGCACAAAGTTTTTAAAAAATAAGTAATGTTTTGATTCATGGGTTTCCATCATTGTTTTTGTTGGCTAGGAGACAGCTGTTGTAATCCCTTAAGCATGGGTGCTATTAAAAAAATGGTTGAGAAGAAAATACCTGGAATTTACGTCTTGTCTTTAGAGATTGGAAAGACCATGATAGAGGTAAGGCCCTTTGCTACTCTGTTCCTTGAAGGCTTGCTGACTGAATGTGCTGTTAGAATGCTTCACATTGCATTTTCAGAAGCAAATTCACTCTGGACGGCTTGTGTGCCAACTTGAGGTCACCTCTTGCAGTTGCTAGTGGTTGCTTCAGTCCCATCCTTTCACTTGTCTGTGACTCCTTTTTAGGATGTGGAGAACAGCTTCTTCTTGAATGTCAATTCCCAAGTAACAACAGTATGCCAGATTCTTGCTGAAGATCCTAAATTGCAACAAGGTTACAATGCTATGGGATTCTCCCAGGGAGGCCAATTTCTGTAAGTCCTTCTTTGATATATATTGCTACTTGCATGGAATTGATTTTTTTCTTTTATTCAGATAAATTCTTTCCTCTAATTCTTTTGGGATCCTTCCCTGTCTTAGAAAGAAAATTATTCTAAAACGTTGCCATGTAAGAACATGGGAACATATGTACTTTCTATGAGAAAAAACAACAACAAAAAAAAAGATTTTGTGTTTGACCATGGTAGAGGAAAGTCTTATAATAGTTTTTTGGGGGCACAGTTGGGTATTAAGTAGCTTAATATGTGATGCTAACTGACGATGATACATTTTCATCTGCCAGCATTGATAATCTCTCTCCACCTCCCGCTTTTTTTTTTTTTTTTAATCCCCAGGAGGGCAGTGGCTCAGAGATGCCCATCACCTCCCATGATCAATCTCATCTCAATTGGGGGACAACATCAAGGTAACTTTGACCACTTTATTTCCTTCTTTCTCTGCTCTAACCCACATGACCACTTGATGTTTAAAAATCTAGCAGCTCTGTTTACATAAGAAGTCAGCCATCTTTGTAAAATCCTGTTTCTACAGCTTTTGACAAACTAGCCAGCACTGATGAGAAATAGGAAGAGACTCAGGATTCCAGAGCCCAGTTACATACGTGAATCATTAGGTTGCCATTTATTGTTCTCCAATTTAACTGATGTCATGTGCAGATGAGTTGGTTGCAGCCACATAGCAGGTGGCACTTAAGGAGTTAGGAAAATATAGTGAATTTTATTGTTTTCTGGTGTTGGTGCTATGCTATTGAATTTGAGCTTAAGGGAAAAAAGCGTGTATAACCCTTTTTGGTCATAAATTTAACAATATAGATTAAACCCTTTGAAAAACATCAGGTTTTCTAGTTAGAACTACATATTTTGGGGGGGGGGAAGGATATGTCTTTGGAATAGGATTTTATCTCTGTTCTGATGAATGTAACTGTTCAGGAACAGGAGAATTCTACGTGTATTCAGAAAAGCTGCACTGACACTATTAACTGTTACTCATGGGCATATCAGTGTATCTTAGGTTCCTTTCACAGATGAAGTAAAGTAAACAAGGCCTTGTTAATTTTCTGGGAATTTTTCAGAGACTGAAGTAAAATGGTGGGTGGGAAATACTTTTCAAAAGTATAAGAATTTTACATATACACGTTGGTTAAAAACAAAACATTTTTTCATTCATTCAACAAGTATTTATGGAGGGGCTCTGGAGCCAAGCTACCTGTGTTAAACTCCTTGTTGTAACAGTGTTGTGTGACCTTGGATGAGGTATTTAACCTCTCTTTAAAGTTTTCTCTGTGATATGGAGAAAAAAAGGATGTCTATTCCAGAGGGCCATGGGGAAGATTAATTATTGTCAACACAGTTGGCCCTCTGAATCTGTGGGCTCCACATCTGTGAATTCAAACAACTATGGACTGGAAATACTTGGGAAAAAAAATTGCATCTGTACTGCACACATACAGGCTTTTTTTCTTCTTGTTATTCTCTAAAAATTATAAAAACTATTTGCATAGTATTTACATTATTTTAGGTATTATAAGTAATCTAGAGATGATTTATAATCTATAGGGATCTAGGAACATAACTCAGTGGTAGAGGGTATGCTTAGTATGCAAAGCCCTGGGTTCATTCTCTAGCACCTCAAAAAAAATTTTTTTTAAATGAAGTATATGGGAGGATGTATATAGGTTATATGCGAATACTACACAGTTTTATACATGGGACTTGAACATCCATAGATTTTGATGACCTCAGGAGGGTCCTGGAAGCAGTTCCCCATAGATACCAAGGAATGACTATATATGCTTTAGAACTTTGCTTGGTACTTAAAAAAGTTATTGGCTGGGCACAGTGGCTTGCACACCTGTAATCCCAGCAGTTTGGGAGGCTGAGGCAGGAGGATAGCAAATATAAGGCCAGCCTTAGCAACTTGGTGAGGTCCTAAGCAACTTAGCGAGACTCTTGTCTCAAAATAAAAAATAAAAATGACTGGGGATGTAGCTAAGTGGTAAAATGCTCCTGGTTAAATTCCCAGTACCTTCCCCTCTATCCCCAAAAAAGTTATTGATGAAGATGCTGAGAATAAAAGTATAACTGGGGGAGGGAAAGAGAAAAAGGCACCACCTCACATAGTGGATAGTCTGACATCCACAAGCTAAGACCCAGGAGATGAGAATGAGTCTAGCCATGTGGTAGAGTACAGAAGCAGCACACCCTCTAGGGAAGAGCAGGTGCAGAGCAGGTGCAGAGGTTCTTAGTCAACAAAGAATGTGGGACTAAGCATTCATTAGCTTTTTGTCACTGTGATCAAAATAACTGACAAGAACAATTTAGAGATGAAAAAGTTTATTTTGGCTCATAGTTTCAGTGGTCTCAGCCCATGGTTGGCTGGCTCTGAGGCAGAAACATCTTGGCAGAAAGGCATGGCAGAAGAAGATTGTTCAGCTCATGCCAGCTGGAGAGCAGAGACAACAAGAAGGGGTTCTAGGACAGAAAAAGTCCCCAAGGCCATGCCCTTGGTGACCTGATTCCTCCAGTCTTGCTCCTCCTGCTTATTGTTACCACCAAGTTGTCTATTCAGATTTTCAGTCCATCAGATATATTAATCGACTCATAAGCCAGTCTTTTCACCTCTGAACGTTGCTGTATTGCCTAACACATGAGATTTGCAGGGGACATTCCAGATCCAAATCATAGTAGCACCAGGATGAAGCTGGTTATATTAGTTCTCAATAACTCACTTTCTTGAGGGAGAAATTAATGAGATTAAGGTCTGGCTTTTGTCGGTTTTTCTTTATCCCAGTGCCTTGAACCATATTAGATCCAGGACATGATTGTTGAAGGAATGGATGTTTGTCTTTTGCTGTTTTAGGTGTTTTTGGACTCCCTCGATGCCCAGGAGAGAGCTCTCACATCTGTGACTTTATCAGAAAAACACTGAATGCTGGGGCTTACTCCAAAGTTGTTCAAGAACGGTATGAGCTGTTTTTATTATTTATTTATTTACTTTTATCTGTGCTGAGGAATTGAACCTAGAGCCTTATGCATGCTAGCTGGATGGAGCTATAGCTATGAAGCTATAGCTCCAGTTCCCAAATGAGACATTTTTTTAATAACTATCTCTGCACTATCTATTCTGTTTTACTGTAAACCTAAAATTGCTCTAACAATGACATTAATTTTTTAAAAAGAAAGAAAAAGGCATTTTGCTATGGGAAAAATATAATGATAACAAATAAAACACCACCATTAACAAACAAAACAGCATCTAGATAGTACTAAGCCCAGGGAATTAACTATTAATATTTGGAGGACAGATTGTTAATGTTGTCAGCAGGGAGAGGTTAGCCACTCTTATATCAGTATCCTCAACTATTCAAATGTGTTTGATTATTTAAAAATATACAGAATCACTTTGGGAGTGTATTTTTGTTCCGTAGTTTACATACTGAATTATACTTCAGAACTGCTGGAAATTCACTAAAAATGGCTCTATCCCTAGAAATTCTGATCCAATAAGTCTGGAAAATTCTAGGTGGTAGCTGGGGTTTGGAATCAACTAATGTGGCTATATCTATCCTGTGGGTTTACCCAGTGTATCATTCTTGTCAAATAACAATTCTTCACACAACACATCCTAGAAGCCATTTTCCAAAGTAGCCTTGTGACTGACTGACAGATACAAACACCCTACAGTTGGCTTTCTTCCTTTCCGACCCAATGGCTGCACTCCAGACACAAAGCTGTCCTGGGCTGACAGTTCCACCTGATGGTGAGTGCAAGAAGCTGTATATCTCTACCTCCTCTTTTAACCCTTCCAGCAACTCAGACTGTGCCAAGCTTTACACTATACCAGGTTTAATTAGTGATATATTGGTTGTTCACGGGCTACGTATTCTCTGCTCTCATTGGATGTATATGGCCTCTTTAAATTTCACTCTTACATCTTTAGTCTTTATTCTTCTAACTCTTGATCAGATGCTTCAGAAAAACCCATTTTTTGTTTCTTTGTTTCGTTATCTAAATTATAATTCCTGACAAACTGGGCAGTGGCGGACACCTATAATCCCAGTGGCTGGGAGACTGAAACAAGAGGATTGCGAGTTCAAAGCCAGCTTCAGCATAAACGAGGCCCTAAGCAACTCAGTGAGACCCTGTCTCTAAATAAAATACAAAATAGGGCTGGGGATGTGGCTCAGTGGCTGAGTACCCCTGAGTTCAATCCCCAATACCCATCCCCCCCCAAAAAATATAACTACTGGCAACCAGAATTACATGAATAATGATCAATAACCAGTTGAAGGGTGGTAAGAAGTGACACCTAAATATTGATTGAAATGGTAGAATAATGTATTATCTTCACTTTCTTCTTAAAATTCAGTAGCAGAAGGATAAAAAGGGATAAACCCATAAAGTCAAAGGAGAATAGGAAAGAAGATAAGAGATAATACAAAATGTAAATAAATATGTCTTTAAAAGAGAAAGCAGATGAATGAGTAAGAGAAAACAGAAGAACTTGGAACCTTCAGGCCTGAAGAGAGTTACACTGACAAAGAGGAGCAGATTCATCTTCTATAGCTCCACGAAGGCTCAGGAATTAGAGCTAAAAGTTAATTTGAAGGTGGAAGTAAGTGATTAGTACTAAAGCAGAGCTTTTTGTTGAAAATCTGTGGACTCCTCAATTCCATTAAATGTACATCCAAATGACTACTCTTCCCCTACTCTTCCCCCACCCTAACAGAAGACGCAAACTTTATTCTTTGGAGTAACTTAACTAGAGAAGTTCCAGACTTAGAGATAGCAAGCACAGGATGGAGGAGCAATGCCATACTGAAAACACATCCCCTTCCCCAGCCTGCTCCCAGAATGATAGCAGCCAGCCAAGATTACCTACCAGGCAGAGTTTGGTCAACATTGTTTAGAACTGACTTAAAGAAAAGATGTACAAATCCATGTTTGAGGATCCTCCAAGGCAGGCCCCCCACCCCCTCCCCATTTCTGTACACTGAGCCCACCTGTAGATAAGCTCTGCTCTTACACAAAAAGCTTCTGTCAGCCTTGACATGCCTTGTTAAATATGAGCACTGAATCAAAGGCCCTGGCCAGACATCTGAGAGGAAAGCTTCCAACATGAAGGATAGGCCTATACAAACAAAAATTTAAAAGGAACTCAGAAAAAATGGATGACAATTGAAGGAACAGAAGAAATCTTTTAAAAAAAAAAAAAAGGCCTATATAGTTGGCCCTGTTTCTATGGGTTCCACATCCATGGGTTTATCTACCTTCAAGTGAAAATATTTGGGGAAAAAAACTGTGTACTTAACATGTACAGGCTTTCTTCCTTGTCATTATTCCTCAAACAATACAGCAGAACAATTATTTACATAACATACACATTATACCAGGTATAAGTTATAAGTAAAGTAGAAATGATATAAAGTGTATGGGAGTATGTACATAGATTATACTATTTTGTGTAAGAGATCTGAACATCCTCAGAGGCACATGTAAACAGCCTGTGCATGTTCAGTACACATTTTTTTCCCTGGATATTTTCACTTGAGGTTAGATGAATCCATGGATGTGGAATCCATAGAATCAGGGCCAACTGGACAGGCTTTTTTTTTTTTTTTTTAAGATTTCTTCTGTTCCTTCTATTGTCATCCATTTTTTCTGAGTTCCTTTTTGTATGGGTCTTAGAACCAGTCACCCACAGATACTGTTGGATAACAATAATTATTATCTTCAAAGAGATTGCATTTATGATATTAGAATGTGAATAAAATCAACAGAGTAAGATAGAATTGTTAGAAATTAAAAATATAATAACCAAAAAAAAAAAAGGGGTATGGGAAAAGTTGAGGAAATCTCCTAGAAATTAGAACAAAAATTCAGAGGTAGAGAAACTCAGAGAACAGATAAAATTAGAGAAGCAGTTTAGGAAGTTAGTATCTGACTAATGGGAGTCTTTTTTGTTTGTTTATTTTTTCGTTGTAAATGGACATAATACTTGTATTTATTTATTTTTATACATTGCTGAGAATTGAACGCAGTGCCTCATACATGCTAGGCAAATGCTCTACCGCTGAGCTGCAATCCCAGCCCTAAATTTGGAATTATTGAATAAATAATACTAGACAGTTTGCTAGACTGGCAACCAAGCCATCAATACATGGGTCTTTGGGGACAATACAAATCTAAAGTATAAGCGGGTGCAGTGTCGAATGCCTGAATCCCAGTGGCTCAGGAGGCTGAGGCAGGAAGATCACGAGTACAAAGCCAGCCTCAGCAAAAGCGAGATGCTAAGCAACTCAGTGAGACCCTGTCTCTAAACAGGGTGAGTATATGGCTCAGTAGTTGAGTGTCCCTGAGTTCAATCCCTAGTACCCTGCCCACCCCCCCAAAAAAATCCAAACTATAATCAAGTATATTACTGTAAAATCTCAGAACAGTAGGGGTAAAGAGTAGATCCCATTGAGGCTGCACAGGAGGAGTCAGAATCCTGATGGCAGTACATGCCTAATAGCAAAACTACTAACTAGAAGGTAGTGGCACAGATCTGTGCAATCTGAGGGAAGATAATTTCCAACCTACAATTCTGTATGCTAACCCCCAAGTAGCACTAAACATGTGAGGGAAAATAAGGATTTTTTTTTCAGACATGCAAAAACAGGGAAAAAAATCACCTTCCATGCTATCTTTCCAGGGGGTGGATAAAGAGCTTCAGTTCTACTGCCATTTAGTTATGGGGTCCCTAGGCATCTTGAGCCTCATTTCCTTCGATGTCTATAAAGTTAGTACTTTCCTAGGGGGCTATTGTGAGGATTAAACAAACTGGATAAAAAACATTTAGTGCATTGCTCAGTTCATGTTAAGTGGCCAGACTTTTGTTGTTATTACTAGTGGTGCTGTGTTCAAAATACTTATTTAAATTAGTTTTTTGTTTCCTTTATAGATATTGTAGTGTTTTTGTTTTCTATTTATTTACTTATTATTTTCAGTACTGGGGATTGAATCTAGGAGTGCTCTGCCACCAAGCAACATCCCCAGCCCTTTTAATTAATTAATTTATATTTATTTATTTTTATTCCTACCTCAGTGTCCATTACCTCCAGATTATAGGCATGTACCACTGCACTCAGCTTGTTTTCTCTAACTTTGAGTTGCAGTTTATAAATTCATCAAATATTGAGTTATTGCTCTTTGCGATATTGTAGGTTCCACAGATACCATGGAAAAGAAGATATTGGGGTCCCTGCTCTCATGAAATAACATTAGTGGGGAAAGGGGCATATGGATGCCCTAAATAACAAGGATAAAGCCATGACAAAAAGCAGGATGCTGTGATGCAGAGTAATGGAGGGAGTACTTACTTTGGACAGAATTGGTCTTTGGAGAAGAGATCTGGAATCTGGAATATGAAGGATGAGATGGAAAGAGAATTTAAGAAAAGAAGGACCAGGCAGAAGAACAGCTGGCAGAGGCACTGAAGCTAGGACAAGTTTAGCTTGTTCTAGGCCAGGGTAACTACAGTTTAGTGCAAGATGGGGAAAGTTGAACAAAAAAGTAGAGTCTGCATCAGGCAAGGACTTGTAGGCCACATAAGGTATTGAGACTTTATTCTGAACAGAAAGGAAGCCATAGGGAGGTTTTAAGCAGAAGTTAACATGACCTGATTTATGTTTTTGGAAGATCTTCATTGCTTTGTGGATTTTAAGGGGGCTAAAGGAAAAATAGAAAAACCAGTTAGGGGCTCTGCAGCAATCTAGGTAAGAGTGTACTGGTCATGGGTCCACACGGGTGGTGACAGTGGGAGTGAGAGAAGAGGAATGATTTGAGGTGTTTTATGACATTGTAGATGAATTATACTTGTGAGCTGAAATTGAGCTGTTTCCATGGGAAGCATTATGAATTTTCAGCAGCTCATATTTAGATTAACTTTTAGGATACTTTTCTAATTTTGTGGAATTGTTTG